AATTAATTAATCGTGCACATGCATGCATGAAGCCATGTACATACATACACCATATATATAGATTTGCCTGAATCTACTTTGTTTCCAAGCCAAACTTGTCCATTTCTAGCTAGCTATATACTGTATCCATGGCTGTTGTTGAGGATAATTCAAACAATACCTCACAAAACAGCAACCTCGGGAGTCCCTTTAACAATATTTGCATCAGGAACACAAACATAAGGTTGCCCTCTCTTCCTCAAATTCCAAATCCAAAAATCCAAGACCCACTTCCTGAACCGCAAAAGCCTCAGCTGTATTATGAACTGAAACAACTTTTCCTCAAGAACGACGCCAGTAGAGACGGTCGCCTCAGCAAAAAGGAGCTATCTAAGGCTTTCGCCACCCTCGGTTCGCGCTTCCCAGCTTACCGAGCCTGGCTCGCTAGGATTGAAGCTGATCTAGACCATGATGGGTACATCAGTTGGGACGAGTTCGACGCCCTCATTTCCTACACCATGAAGTGGTTGGACTCTAAGTTTTAATTTATGCTTTGCTTTTTGCAATTTTTCAGTGCACGGCCTAAAATAAATTGTTGAATGCTTTCAATAAATACTGTCCACTCCCCTCTGCTGTTAATATTTCTTGGCCAATTGCTTAAGTTTATGAGTTGCGTATAAGGTGTAATAAATATTTTTTTTATTATAAATTTATATTAAAAAATTAATATTTATTTATTTATTTAATATTAATATTAAGATTAATATTAATTTTTATATAAATTTTTTATATATTTATGAAAAAAAAAATACTTTAAACACCTTAAGTTTATTTCTCTTTTAATTTTCTGTTTCTAGGCCGCAAATTGTTTAGCATTGAACGTGACCTTTTATTTTGAGTAAATAGAGCAAAGATTTTGAAAAGTTATTGACATATACTTAATTTAATATATTTTTTAGAATCATGATTGGTATACATTCAGATCCAACATTCGAGTGTACATCCCCACATAAAAAAAATGGTATGCACTCAGATTTTTTTATG